CTGCAGTCCATGGGGTTGCAAAGAGTTGGGACATGACTGAGTGACTGAACTGAACTATTATGCATGCTGGGAACCTGTATACCCGTGTGCAGGAGGCTAAGGGCCCCACAGTAATGACCCTGCACACCAGTGGAGTGTTCTGAAATTTAAAGAATGACTCACCCACAGCCAATGTAAGCCTGATGATAAATAACCTTCCCATTTCATAGACCTGGAAAGTGAAGTTCAGGGTTAAGTGCCTTGCCTAGGATTCCTAAAGCTAGGACTCAAACCCAGGTCCTCTGCCTTTCAAACCTGCAGCCTCCTGACTTGAGGAGGCCAGAGATTCATTCCATTTTCAATCTGTTGCCTTTTCCCAAGAACAGCCTAGGAGGAAGTGAAAAGAGGAATGAATCTTGACCTCTTCTCACCTTCCCTAGGTTCCCAGAGGCAATGGATGCAGACAGGGTAAGAAAAGGCACTGTAACAATGCACAGAGGTGGGGCAGCTGGGGTCTAGAGGTAAAAGTTCCAGATTCAAGTCTCAGTTTGAAAGGAGAGAAGCAAATCCAGCAGGTGCATTCACTACCTTTTAATTATTCACCTTTGTGCCCAGGACCAACTTGCTGCTACAGAGATGCTGGGGAAAACGTGTGATGAGTAACTGTAACACAAGCATGCTTAGTTGTGTGTGATTCTTTACCCCATGGACTGCAGCCCACCAGGTTCCTCTGTCCATGGATTTTCCAGGCAAGAATACTGGAGTGGGTTGCATTTCCTCCTCCAGGGGATCTTCCTGACCTGGGGATTGAACTCACATCTCCTACATTACAGGCAGATTCTTTACCTGCTGAGCCATCAGGGGAGCCCAAAAATGTATGATGAGTCTTTGTTAAGCATGAAAAATTCTGGATGGAGGGTGGGAAGGAGGTTTGAGATAAATTAAGAGTTTGGGATTAACACATACATACTACTATATATAAAATAGATAAACAACAAGGACATTACTGTATAGCATAGGGAGCTATATGTCATGTCTTGTAATAGACTCTGAAAAAGAATCTGAAATCTGTATGTATGTATGTAACTGAATCACTTTGCTGTACATTTGAAACTGACACAACATTGTAAATTAACTATCCTTCAGTTGAAATATAGAAAAAAAAAAAAAAAGTTCTGCAGTGGTGGGACCCTGCCTCTGAAAGAGGAAAGACGCCCTGGAACACAGGCAAGGGCTCCCTTTGCCCACAGCACGGCAAAGACCGGAGAAGAGCCAGAGGACTAGAGGGGAAGAAACCCAAGGTGAAAACAGGAAGGAAAGAGTAGAGGAGGAGGGATGGGAAGCTGGGCTAAGAGGTCTCCCTGATGGTAGATCCTGAGTTGTGGTCTGAGTGTTGCCAAGAGGGGCTTCCCTGGTGGCTCAGATGGTAAAGCGTCTGGCTGCAATGCGGGAGACCTGGGTTCGATCCCTGGGTTGGGAAGATCCCCTGGAGAAAGAAATGGCAGCCCACTCCAGTACTCTTGCCTGGAAAATCTCATGGGCGGAGGAGCCTGGTAGGTAGTCCATGGGGTCGCAAAGAGTTGGACACGACCGAGCGACTTCACTTTGCCAAGAGGGGCTTCCAAGATGGCGCTAGTGGTAAAGAACTCGCCTCCCAGTGCAGATGTTAAGAGATGCAGGTTTGATTCCCGAGTTGGGAAGATCTCCTAGAGCAGGGCATGGCAACCCACTACAGTATCCTTGCCTGGAGAATCCCATGGACAGAGGAGTCTGGCGGGCTCCATAGGGTCACAAAGAGTCAGACACAACTGAAGTGACTTAGCAGGCATGCTGCCAAGAAAGCAAGGTTTTTAAAACCAAGATCAGTAAGAGCTATTCACTACAGGCCTGATCTGTACAATTGTGCCTTGTGAGCTGTAAAAATTTAGTTTCATTTTTTCTGCTTGAAAGCAGGACCAAATGACAACTGCTTGCTCTTGCTCTTCGGTAACAGGAAAACCCCCTGCTGAGGCCCCGGATTATCTGGCTTCCTTGACTGCCAGCCTCAGGTGAGGATTCTACTGCATCTAGATTGACTCAGAACGGTGCATTCCAGTGCTCCCAGGAAGCTGACCTCTATCTACCCATCAACACTTCCCAAACCTTATAGTACTGTAAATATTCTCACTGCTCCCACTCTGAGGAAGTCCACGCCCAAGGGCAAAGCCACTTGTTCAACAGCCAAAAAGTAGTCTCTCCATTCCCAGCCTGTGCCGGTGTCCCTGGAGTCCCCTTTCCAGAGACACCAGACTTCCTGTGTGGTCTTATGCAACTGTGGTCCCAAGCGAGAAAGAGAGAGAGAAAGAGATGGGGAGGGAGAGAGAGAGGGAGAAAGGAAATCCAGTTGCTCATTCCACCATTATTCAACAAGATTAATGCATTTCATGCCCCCAAAGTTTTATCTCACAAGGCAGTAAGCTCTGGGCATAGAGATTCTTTCTGTGTCTTGCTACACCAAATGGACCTGGCGCAGATTTTAAAAAGTTTCCTCCAAATTCCTCCTTGTTTACTTTACATTCCAGCTGTTACATAATCCTCACTCTTACACTCACTTCTCTGATAACGTAATATGGAAGAATCTTGTCTGTACTCTATTGCAAGTTAATCACTGAAGGGATGTTTGCCTATAAACTTAAATTATACATAACGGCTCATCTCTGGGAGCCCTGCTTCCTAGGTAATGAACACTGAGCTAAAATATTAATACCTTTGTTTAGCTCCCAGAAAACCTCCTGACCAAACCTGTGAATGACTGCAGGGAACAAGACACTAACACATCCCCTTTCGAGGCTGATGAAAACCAGAAGTGTTCGACTTTACTCCTGCCCCTTCAGTATAAAAGGATCCTGAATTCTAACTCAGGCAAGATGGATCTTTGGGGCAGGAGCCCACTGTCTTCCCAGTTTGCTGGCCTTAGGTAAAAGGTCCTTATTCCTTGTCGCAACAACTGTCTCTTGACTATTAGCTTGTCATACAGTGAGCAGTACAAGCTTAGACTTAGTATGTTGCAGTAAATAACACTCCGTTGCATTTATCTAATGCTTGCAGTTTATGAAATGCCTTGCCACCTAAGAAAATATATTTATTTAACACTACGGAATAAATGGGCTTCCCTTTCCCTGGTGGCTCAAACAGTAAAGAATCTGCCTGTAATGTGGGAGACCCGGGTTTGATCCCTGAGTGGGGAATATCTCCTGGAGAAGCAAATGGCAACCCACTCCAGTATTCTTGCCTGGAGAATTCCATGGACAGAGGAGCCTGGCGGGCTTCAGTGCATGGGGTTGCAGAAGAGTCGGACACAACTGAGTGACTAAAGAAAACAGCGGAATAAACAGACCAATCCACCAGACCAATCCACAGGCTTTTGACTTTTCCTTCTAGGAAACTTTTCAATGACGACTCAACCATGGGCAGGAACCTTCAGAACTTATTAATGAAGTCATGGCAGCATTCCAACCAAGAGTCAAGTCTTTACTTAGGAACTCGTCTTACGCCACCTCCTCACACGGTTGTATAAAGGTCCCAATGAAATAATAAACTGATGGTGCTTAAAAATCTTATACCCACTTAAGTCACGATCACTTTCACAGCCCCAAGGGCTTAAGCCAAATTCACAAGCAGGTAAAATGGGATGGGGCCAAAAGCTATCACTTACCCTCTGCTGGTCAAAGCAAGGAGCCAAGTAACAGCTTAGATTACAGCTGTCTGACCTGCCCTCATCCTTTGACTCTGCCTGTCCCAAAGAGATAGAAGAGGTAGGGAGATGTAGAGCTCCACCCACTGACAGGCCCATAGAGCTTGAACAGCAAAAGCCCAATCAGCTCGGCATGCCAGAACTCCAGGTGGGATGAGCTATGTCAAGTTGATCCCTCCCTAGTCACTCTCCCAAATTCTCCTCGCTGTCAGACTTCTCGGCTTCCGGCTCACTGCCACCAAGAGTGGTCCCTTTCTTTCCTCCCTGCCTCTCCGAGTTCAGGGGCAGGTGGGGGAAGAGGGAGCGCAATAGCGGTGCTGTGCAGTCACAGAGCTGCCGGTTTGGTGAGTAAAGTTGAGGGTGAGATGGGCAGCCCTGGCTCGGGGAAGATCCTAGGGCGCCCCTACCTCTCCCAGGGAAGGATGAAGGAAAGGCATTCTTGGCAGGATTTGAGAACAGAGGACCATTGAGCTGAAATCCCAGAGTAACCTCGGGTGCAGCCGGATCTGTTGCCAGCCTGGTGCTGCTGTAACGTCCCGTCCCAAGGCCCCTCTCCACCTGGGTTTTGCAAACTCCAGCCCTTTTTCTTTCCACCAGTTTCCATCAGCACCGTCTCCTCCCTCCCCTTCAGGATCGCCGACATTTGCGGGGGGTGGGGGCGAGGAGGGGGGGTCTCGGTAGTCTCAGAAAGCGTGGGAACAGGAGCTACCAGGCGGGGTCTCCGAGGCAGCCATTGCGGACCTTCTGAGACTGCAATTCCAGCAGGAGCGAGCCCCGGCCGGGGACGAGCTTTCCTTCCCCGCCCCCTTGTCTGGCCGGAGAGTGGGGGACGCGCGCGGAGTCCTACACCTGGCTCCTCTCCCGCTCCTCTCCGCGGGACCCAGGGGCGGCCATCTTCCACGCTGGGGGCGCTAAAGTCTCAGGGTCCCGGCGCCCCGGTTTGGGGGAGTTCCCAGGCTCCGGCTGAACTCGGAGGAAGGAACGGACGCAAGGGTCCGAGCGCGCGCGGTAGATCCTGCACGGATCTCCACCGCTTGGATCTGCCTCCGGGGCTCCAAAATCCGAACCCCACGGCACGCTGACCCAGCTGTGCCACGGGACGAGGATTCGGAGGGGGAGGTGAGCGCCGTAGACACTTTTCCTTCCCACCGGGACGGCTCCCCGCCGCACCCCCCCCCCCCCCAAGCTCCACTCGGCGCTGGAGGTGTTGTCTGACGTCCTGAGACCCACGGCTCCTGCCTCCCTCCTTCAGCGGAGAAGGGTGGCGGGAGTGGCCCCAGGCCCTTACCGTAGCATCTTCCCCGGCGTAGTGCCCGATAACCCGCTGGCCCCCGGGGTGCCGCCTGGACCATTGGGTGATGTTGTAGACCTTGCGATCGATGACCAGCCACTTGTCGGTGCGCAGGTTGTGCTTCTGAATCTCCTCCCAGCGGAAGGTGGGCATCGGCGCCTCAAGCCCGGAGGCCCCCTCTCCCTGGTTCCCCCCGCTCCCCATGCTGCCTGCTGATCGGGTGGCCCAGTGCACTGAGGTGAGTGCGGTCCGGACCTTTATCGCTTTCGGCTTTTGTCTTCTCCTCCTCCCACGACGTCCCCTCCCCCAGCCTCCTCTCCCCGAGCTCGCAGCGGACTTTTGCCTCCAGAGAAAACTCCTGGGTAGCTCAGGGCCTCGAAGCCTTCTTTGCCCGCCCCTCCGCCTCCCCCCGCCCGGGACTCCGCATCCTCCCGCGTTCCCCTCCTCCTGGGTTTCCACAGTGATCAGCAGAGCGCCTGCACCAATCCGGGCACGTCGCCCCTCCTGCCATTGGCCCAGGAGGATCTTTCGAAGGCCAGCGGGCTGGGGCAGCGGTTCCCGGCTCCCCCGCCAGCCGGGCCACTCGGAGTCCTGAGGGGCCGGGAGGCCGGTTACGTGTCCGAACTCCTCCCTCCCCCCACTTCAGCCCCGGGCGCCCGAGGAGATCCCAGGGGAGCCTGGCGGGCAAGAGGGGGCGGCGGTTGGGGTTCCCGGCGCTTACGCGCATGCCGGCGACCCGCGCTCCCGGGTGTGCACCTGATGCCCGCACAAAGAGGGCCGCGCGGCTCCGCGCGCTTTGCGGTGGGGACCGGCCCAAGGCCGGGCTGGCGGGCGCGCAGGCGCGGCCAAGCCACCGGGCGGGCTATTTCCACCGGGACCGGCCTGATTAGATGACGCCCTCCCCTAACCCTCTGGAATCGGTACTCCAATATCTCCACACTGTGCTCGCTGTCCACACTGGCGCCCTCCTGCAGCCTCCCTGGGGGAACGCCAGCCTGCGGTTGGCCCAGGGCTCCAAAGCCTGTAATCAGTGGATCTTAGAAAAGAATTGTGGAACCTCTTATGTGCTTCCTTGTGTTCGGCGCCATGGTGGGGAGAGGATGGAGGGGGACGCCGTGGTGGGGACGCGAGGACTTGGTTCTGGCCCTGAACTCAGGAATCTCGCAGTTGGGAAGAAATACTATGGAAATGATACAGGACCTCCTACGATGAACTGTTCAGTGCTGTTATACAGACTCCAGGAGATAAAGATGGGGATATCAAAAGAATAGGCCTGTGCAGGCCCCCAGGGCTAATGGACCGAGCTGCTTGGGATTAGTGCCCTAGTGAAAGGTTTGCCTGGTTTAGAATTCCTAAGAATTCCTTAGAATTCCTCTACCCTCCCAGGTTTTTGCCTAGTCTAATAACTAAAATGATATAAGATATTACCAGGAGAAAAAGAAACATTTAATAGTATGTATACCTCCTGTAGGGCTTCCCTGAAGGCTTAGATGATAGAATTTGCCTGCAATGCAGGAGACCCAATTCTGATCCCTAGGTTGGGGGAGATCCCCTGGAGAAAAGAATGGCAACCCACTCCAGTATTCTTGCCTAGAGAATTCTGTGGACAGAGGAGTCTGGTGGGTTACAGTCCATGGGGTCACAAAGAGTCAGCCAGGACAGAGGGACTAACACTTTCACTTTTTCATACCTCCTGTATACATGTGAGATACTCAGAAAAACTGAGTAACTCCCTGAAAATTGCATGGTGAAAGCTCTTCACCCTAAATACCATCTTCAGTAAAAAAAAAACAAAAGATGTGGGACTTCTCTGGTGGTCCACTGACTAAGACTCCGCTCTTCCATGAAGGGGGCCAGATTCCATCCCTGGTCTGGATCCCATGTGCCAAAGCTAAAAGTTCACATGCCACAGCTAATATTTACAACAACAAACAAAAGATGTTGGGGGTGGGGGTGGAGACCTGTGGAAGGTCACCAGGAAAAGCACAGTAAACAAGGTTAGGTTTTGTGCGGTTTTGAGGCGTTATCTTCTGCACTGGACTTGAGTTTGAGTAAACTTCGGGAGTTGTTGATAGACAGGAAGGCCTGGTGTGCTGCAGTCCATGGAGCTGCAAAGAGTCAGACATGACTGAGCTACTGAACTGAACTGAACTGAACTGAACTGAACTTCTGCACTGGTAAGTGTTTCTAGAAGTAAGGTCATCTTCCTCTTCCTGGTACATTGAGGGAGGTAGCCTTACAGATGGAGATTTCCCCTGTACATGTGAACGCCTCTTACAAAAGGGTAACTTCTACTTAGTTTTCAGAGCTTTTCATGGTCTGCAGTTTCTTAAAAGTAATCAGCCTGAAATAGCCTTATGCCAAAGAGTTAAATTCTGTGGTGGCAAATTTTGTTCCTGTATAGCAAGAAATTCCTTTGAAAATTTCCCAAGATGTCTCACAGCCCAGAAACTAAGTTGATAGATTGGTCCATACCACGTTGAACCAGTTTCCCAATGGTGAGACTAGGTCAGTTCAGTTAGAGTTTATATCTCATTTCAGGAGGTAAGTGATGCAACTGGGTCCCCAAAGTTAGCCCTATATTGTGCAGGAAATCAGGGGTAATAAGAGGAATTTCTTTTTCTTTTTTAACTTTTAATTTTGTATAGGGGTATAAACGATTAACAATGTTGTGATAGTTTCAAGTGAGGGACTCAGCCATAAACATATGTGTATCCATTCTCCCCAAACTCCCCTCCTATCTAGGCTGCCACATAACACTGAGTAGAGTCCGTGTGCTATACAGGAGGTCCTTGCTGGTTATCCATTTTAAATCCAGGATCGTGTACAAGCAACCATACGTTCGTTCTCCAAGTTTGTGAGTCTTAATATGAGGAATTTCTAAGGAAACAAAGTGAATGGTTGGAGAAAGTTATAACCCAATGTCTGAGTCCTGAGAGCTGCCATGAGAGCTGACATCAGTTCTAGATGTCAGGCTCAAAGCATCTTCACATGCAGTGTGGGCAAGTGGTGGCAATCAGATTCTCCTGATTTGCAGTTTGAATGTCTGATGATATCATGCATGCTGGTGGCCCATCAAATTTTTCTGAATGGCCCAGACAACAACAAACACAAAGAAGATTGTCTAAACATGAGATATTGTGGCAATTTCTCTGAAGTTTATATGAAGTCATTCAGTCTGTATGGCTTTGAGGAAAAGAGCAGCTTTTGTTCTTGGTGATTCCAAGTCAGAAGATTGGGAGAAAATTGGAAAGTTTATTTTGGAGCATCATAACCAGATATTGAAGGAAACCAGTAGAATTCAGGATCCAGTTCAGTTCACAAGTAAATAACAAAATCTCAAAGACAATGAACAGCACTAGAGTCTGATATCTACAAAGGTGTGCTATTGAAACAATTTTTCTCTTTAAAATCACCCTGTTCAGTCATTAAGTTGTGTCCAACTCTTTGCAACCCCTTGGACTGTAGCACGCCAGGCTTCCCTGTCCTTCACCGTCTCCTGAAGTTTGTTCAAACCCATGTCCATTGAGTCGGTGATGCCATCCAATCATCTCATCCTCTGTTGCCCCCGTCTTCTCCTGTTCTCAATCTTTCCCATCATCAGGGTCTTTTCCAATGAGTCGGCCCCTCGCATCAGGTGGTCAAAGTATTGGAGCTTCAGCATCAGTCTTTCCAGTGAATTTTCAAGGTTGGTTTCCTTTAGGATTGACTGGTTTGATCTCTTTGCTGTCCAAGGGACTCTCAAGAGTCTTCTCTAGCACCACAGTTCAAAAGCATCAATTGTTTGGCACTCAGCCTTCTTTATGATCCAACTGTCACATCCATACAAGACTACTGGAAAAACCATAATTATACAGACCTTTGTCGGCAAAGTAATGTCTCTCCTTTTTAAGATGATGTCTAGGTTTGACATTGCTTTTCTTCCAGTGAGCAATTGTCTTTTAATTTCATGGCTGCAGTCACCAGCCACAGTGATTTTGCAGCCCCCCAAAATATAAGCTGTCACTGTTACTACTTTTTCCCCATTTATCTACCATGAAGTGATAGGACTCGAAGCCATGATCTTAGTTTTTGGAATGTTGCGTTTTAAGCCATCTTAAAATCACCTTAATTTCTACCAAAGATAGACAAATTAAGGCCAGTTTGTTTGCAAAAGAAGTATAGCCTCATCAGACTTGGCCAGATTATATACATAAGTGCAGCAAGAATAGTGATTGATCATGTAGGCTCTCTAAAATCTGGTTTGAGGGAACTTTATATAAGGAAACTTCAGAGTGAAATTTTCACAGCTTCTTGAGGTCAAGAAGCCAAGCCAAGGACCAGCCATTGGGAAAATTAATTAACTAACAGAAACCTCATTTAAAATGGAGTTGGGAGGTCAGAAGAGGGAGCCCTCATGCCCCACCATTCAATGTCAACTGCAAACCCGACAGAAAGTACTTTGACTGTATAATCCATGGGGTCAGGCTGAGTCAGGCACGACTGAGCAACTTGCACTTTGCATCTCCAGCGGAAGAAGGTTACTACTTAACGCCCAGCAGGAGGAAGGAAGAACTTCTCCTTGCCCTGCAACAGCCTAGCCAACGAGAGACTGTCATAACCCGGCCAATGAAAAGTCACTACATTTCAAACTTCCTGTTTCTTCCGGTGGACTCTTTGTTTATATCAGCCCCTCCCAGCTTCCCTTTCTTTTCTATCAAAGAATGATTTTGAAACTGCTAGGTGGCATTCGGCAAGAGGCAAAGTGATAGCTAAGAAGTGATTTATCAGATTAGGACACTTGTGGTACTTACAAGTGGGTAGGAGAGAGGATGTTGTGCCCTGAGAACTTAGTGGGCTACAGTTTTATAATCAAAGGAAAAGTGTGTGGGGTGGGGGTGGGGGAATGACCACTTTATTCCTCGTTCTTGAGTAGACGTCACGATTCCATCATCAGCTCCTCCTCCAGGTTGGGCAGTGGAGTTTTCATATCCCTACATGGTCAAGCCGGGACTGTCATGGCACTATGGAAAAATAATTTCGGGTCTCAGTACAATGAGGAACTTTCACTTTGAAGTGTCACCTTTCCAGAAATTGTTGTTTTTTATGTGTGCAAAGAGCATGTCCTAGAGGTCATTAACTTACTGAGCTCACTGGACTGAATGTGGGTCTCATGCCACCATTGTTTTATTGTTTTGAGGCATGTCTCCTGCCTCTGTTTCATG